ATCGCATCTGGTAGAAAAATGACAGGATGGATAATGAGAACCTTTAAAACTAGGGAGGCCAAGCCCATGATGACACTCTTCAGGTCACTTGTTCTATCTAGGCTGGAATATTGCTGCACACTAACAGCACCTTTCAAGGCAGGTGAAATTGCCGACCTAGAAAATGTACAGAGAACTTTCACGGCGCGCATAACGGAGATAAAACACCTCAATTATTGGGAGCGCTTGAGGTTCCTAAACCTGTATTCCCTGGAACGCAGGAGGGAGAGATACATGATTATATACACCTGGAAAATCCTAGAGGGACTAGTACCGAACTTGCACACGAAAATCACTCACTACGAAAGCAAAAGACTTGGCAGACGATGCACCATCCCCCAATGAAAAGCAGGGGTGTCACTAGCACGTTAAGAGACCATACAATAAGTGTCAGGGGCCCGAGACTGTTCAACTGCCTCCCAGCACACATAAGGGGGATTACCAACAGACCCCTGGCAGTCTTCAAGCTGGCACTGGACAAGCACCTAAAGTCAGTTCCGGATCAGCCGGGCTGTGGCTCGTACGTTGGTTTGCGTGCAGCCAGCAGCAACAGCCTGGTTGATCAGGCTCTGATCCACCAGGAGGCCTGGTCACAGACCGGGCCGCGGGGGCGTTGACCCCCGGAACTCTCTCCAGGTAAACTCCAGGTCACCTTGCAGACCACCCTGGTCAGAGCAATGGGACGATAGTGAGAGGTGTCAAGCCCTGAGGTGCCAGGTTTGTGAAATGGTAGTAAAATAGCTGATTTCCAGTGTTGTGGGAGAACCCCTCACTCCCAAATTAGATTGAAAAGATGTAAAAGAACAGGAAGGGCCATAGAATGGAGATGGTGTATCATACCGATGTGGATATCGTCAGGTCCCGGACCCAACAGCTGGCACATGGAAAGCATGGTACGTTATATGGCTCCAAGCCATTGGAGGAGAAATCTAAGAGCAATTGCTCTCTGGTAGGTTTTGATGCAAGAAATGAGAGACAGAGGTGAAGCCCTCGGAGATACAGACAAGATAGTTTCCAATTTCTGTAGCAACTTCTAAAGGTTATGCGACTTCAACTCCAGAAACCCGCAAAACGGGAGCTGGGTCTGGAGCATACTTACCACACAATTTCCACATTGTTTTTCAAACCGCGCACATATGGGGAAGATGAGGTAATGGAAGACACGTAGTCTCGCCAACAAGCGCGTTTAGTATCGTGTATGATGTGGTGAGCAGCTGCCCTTATTTGCTTAAAATCCAACAGATGATCCACAGTACAGTTATATCGATAACGACCCCATGTAGTGCATTTTAAATGCACTGCACAGGCGCACGTAGGAGACCACCAAGGTACGCATATCTGAGAATGCCTACCTGAGGTTTAGGGGATAGAACCAGTTGTCACAGTCAAGACTAAGGTTGAAAATTGGTGTGCCAGTTCATCAATAGATGACGAAAGGGGCTCCTCGCAACAGGTGGTAAGACGGGAGTATAAGTGCCAATCTGCTCGAGCAAACTGCCAACGAAGGTTACGAAACGGTCGGGTGTGTGTAGCAGAAGTAAGAAGGATAGGAAAGTGATCACCATCATGTAAATCTGGAAGAACAGACCACATGAAATCAAGTGCAATGGGTGAGGAACAGATGGAAAGATCAGTGCAGAAGAGCGACTGAGTGTGAGAGTCAAAATGGGTAGGAGCGAGAAGAGTCTCCAACTGATCACCACGAGTCGCAGTGGGACCCTCCCCACAGGTGATGATGAGCATTAAAGTCACCCAACAGCAAGTTGGGCAGCGGTACAGAAATTAAAAATGCAATATCAGAGGTACAGAATGCATGGGAAGAGAAAGACAGAGAGAGCAAACTGTAAGCCATCTGTAAATAAATCCAAGCTGCAGTATAATGCAGCGGGGAACAAATAAAAACTTGTTGATACGGTATGTCAACAAGCACAACAAGCGCACTTTCGTTAAAAGATTCATCAGGTAAAGAATCTGAAGCATATAAAAGCATGTAGCCCAAAACGGGGCAAATGACAGCAGAATAAATTGTGGGTTCTTGCAACTCAACACATACTGAGGACAAATGGGAGAGCAACACTTGGGGTTCTCCCTGATTGCTCCTAAGACATTATGTACAGAAATAAAATTGGCAACAATAAGAAACGATAAAACCTATGAGCTATTAGGATCTGTAAAGTCAACGTGTGGGGGTAATGGTAAACTTGTAAGCAAGGAAGAATGTGAATGTTGCGGAGGAAGAGACTGTTACGAGGGTCGTGAAACAGAAGGGGTAGAGGGAGTCCCGGTGTCCATCGGAGGTGTCATCTCCGCAATATAGCTGGAAATAGCATCTAACATCTCAGTCGTTAAGAAAGCCGACGATGCCATGATATCAGAGACAAGAGAGGCATTGCAAGGAAAGGTTGGAGGAACTACAGAGGTAACCAAAGAGGTCTGAGGGAGACAGGGAGTATGAACCTGGAGAGATGCATCAGCTGGGGTAGAAGAGGCCTGCAGTGTAACAGGAGAGGAAGGAGGCTGGAGGGTAGCTATGGAGGAAGATGGGGGAGAACAGGAGAAGAGGGGACTACACAAGGGGGAGGGTGAACCTCTATCTTCATGTGAGAGCTGGAAAGAGGGCGAAAACAAGGCTCTGAGGTAGGAAATATATTTTGTGCAGGTGATGGATAAGAAAGTGCAGGTCTGTGAGGTTTCGTAGAATGCGTAGACTGAGAAGCAAACGAGTGCGATGAAGTAGGAGGAGGAAGTGGTGTGGAGGTAGGAGTGTCAGAGGATAAAACTACAAAAGAATTAGAAACTGGGGCCACTCCAGAAGACACAGATGCAGAGGGATTGAGAGGCAGCAGTAGGACCGCAGAGGTTGGAGGTCTTCGGGCTACCCGAGCATATGGGACACGAGGGAGTTTACCTTGAAGGTGGAGCTGAGAGACAGCCATAGTGTAAGTGAGGCCCTCACGCTCCTTAAGATAACGGATCTCTCATTCATTATGAGAAACCTTGCAATGGCGTAAAAAGGAAGGATGAGGCTCCTTGCAATTAAGACAAGATGGGGGAAGACTACATGACGTATTGGAATGATCCGCTGCACTGCAGACCAAGCATTCCACTGCAGATCTGCAGTGTTTAGCAAGGTGTCCAAAATGCCAGCAATTACAACACTGTTGGGGAGTGGGAACAACTTGACGGACCTCAAGACCATGGCCCGCAATATAGATAGAGGACGGAAGCTCACAGCAGTCGAAAGTTAAACGAGCGATGTTACTAGGAAAGCGCCTCTGCCCACGAGCAGGCAGGATGTACGTATCTACCTTGAGGATAGGGAGATTCTGAAGGGCTAATTGTTCTAAAATATCCTCGTCAAAAGACAAAAAATCACTCTGTACAACGGTACATGGCAAGACCACAGTACCATTGCAAGAATTAAGAGTAGCATGCTTACGAATGGTGACTGGTATCTTATCTATGGAAGTGATGCAGGAGAGGGCATGAGCTTGCTCTGAATTCTGCACTGTTATGACACACGCTCCACTTCAAAGAGCATGGAAAGTTGGTTGTCGTGGGTGCTTAGGAGTAGAACTACGGGCGGTCTGACCCAAGGTAGGCAGGCGACCTGAGAACCATCACACCGTATTCGGGGAAGCCAGACGCATTGTGAAAGTCGTGCTAGAAGCAGCAGTATGAACTGAAATGGGTAACACCGCAGCACCTGAAGCAGGTGACAAAGTGTCACCGGCAGAAGGTACAGGGGTATGAGAAGAGTCGAGAGAATAGTCTGATAACAAAGCCGGGTCAGAACAGGGTGTGTGATCAGAATGGGGCCTGGGAGGACAAAGGGTTACACTAGGTGAAGATTCCGCACTAATAGGTGCATCTTCTGTGGCATCTTTCTTGCTATTTTAAGAAAAAAAAAAGAAAGAAGGAAAGAAAAAAGAGAGGGACAGCAGAGGGAAAGTCGCTAGGAGGCATGGAGGGGCCGAAAGCTCCTCCCCTCATCTGAGAGGGCCTTGAGCCCAATGGCAGTGAGGATGCAGTGTGGAATCCATGCCATATCCTACCCTTCACACCAGTAAACTAGCGCTCCGGGATAGCAGTCCCACATCTACCGAGCTACCTTGACGGACAAAAGAAAGGACAGTTGGAAACCCGCTATAAAGCATACCTCCTTCGGCTGCCACCCCCCAGAACCGACAGGCAGCTTCCAGAGATACACCCATCATCCGAAGGGCACCCTGCCCACGACCCAGAAACTGGGGAGTAGGGCATCCTCAGACAATTCACATTTCACGGCAAACCACACCACCCAAGGGACCTCATTGAGGGAAACGAACCACAGCACGCCACCCCCACCTAGAAACCGCAACACCAGAGGGAAGGATCCCAGAGGCTACAAATGGGATAGGGAAAAGAGGAGGGTTGGGAGAGGGGAGGGAAGGGAAAAAGGGAGGGTATGGGAAGGGATAGGGAAGGGGGGATTGGGGGGTAATAAGGTTCAGTCAGTGGAAGAAGACCAAGAGGTCCAATTCCTCAGACCGATAGCCTCTTTACCACGACAAGGGGCCCCCCTTAAAGAGGAGTATGTTATATATATTTGGCATATGTACACACTCCCATATAGGCTGCCTCCCAACCAGTGAACTGGGTGCAAAGGGTTTAACGATCTTATGGGGCCCCATCATTAAATCAGAATCCTGGTTCACTGACCAATCATAAGATGGGTCAGACAATTGCTGAGGTGATGTGGTAGCACTCACGGTCAGCTCTTGTCAGGCTCATACAGCTGCTGGTTGCTCACGGTCAGCTCTTGTCAGACTCATACAGCTGCTGGTTGCTCATGGTTCTCTCTCTGTCTCTGGCTGTTGTCTTGCCTTTTGATTACCATGATACACTTATTTTCCAAACTCCTGTACATAGTGTTCATAAGTGTAAATACCTATAACCATACTTGGTGAAGGAAAATACAGTTTAAAGAGTACTGCTGTGTTTATTTTCACTCCAAGTACCATTATGGCCAAGTTAACAGGTCTTTATCACCTGGGTGCATGATACTCGCACTCCCAGAATATTTTTACCTTGAATAGCAGGAGAGTCAGTATCTTAAACCTCACTAACGACTGAAGTGCACTCGTCTTGGAGAATAGTGAATCGATTTTGTACCTTCAAATCTTCTCTATTAATTTTCCTTATCTTAATGCTTTTTCCAGAAGTATGAACCACTTGCCATTTAAAGTGGCTGCCACTCTCCAACTCACTGCTGGTAACCTTTTCCTCCTTACTAGATTCAACCATCTCACACTTGGTCCCAAACCAATCAAGGTGAAGTTTCAGTCTTCGATTCTCCTCTTGCAGAAGTAGAACCTCCTTCCTCAACACTTTAACCTGAGAATCTAAAACACTGCTTTAGTTATATAGATATATACTTGTTCAAATTCTGACTTTTCAGCTGTTCCTAAAGTACAATTTAGAGTACAAGTATGAGGAGTGGGACCCTGTATTCAGGGTGATCTGCAAAACTTTACCATGAAAGAATGCTGAGAGTCAGATATCATCTCTTCTCTTCTTGTCTACACAATGTGTAGCTCTGCTGTAGTGACTTTTAATTACCTAAAATTTGTATATACTAGATGTACATTATCTCGCACATTCAATGAAAAGAAAAATTATCTTCTTGAGATTTTATTTTCCTGATATGCCTGCGGCATTCTGGGCACACAACCCACCGCTGAGGAGCTGCATGAAGTATTTGAAATGTTATCTATCTACTCCCTATTGTATTTTTGTCAATGTATTTTGTCTTCAAATAAAGTCTACACATACACATATACACATTGAAACCTCAGTTTTCGTGGTTAATTCATTCAAAAAAGTCTGACAAAAGCCGAATCGTATGAAAATTGAAACAATATTTCAAATTTTAAATAATGTACATCCAATTAATCCATTCCAGACACCCAAAAATATTAACAAAAAATACATTTTATAAGGAATTACTATAGTTTTACATACAGAAAACAATGAAAAATAAATATAAATGACTTATGAAATGGATAAATGTGCATTTAACATCACTTTTACCTTTATTGAAGACTCTTGTTGGTGTATGGAAAAGAGTGAGGAGGGGAGAGGGAGGAAGAGAGGTTAGTTTTTGGAAGAGGAATTCCCGCCCATAAGGAATTCAGGTATCTAGGCCCTATCTGGGGTTACTTCCCGTCTTTGTCTTTTACTGGCACTAGGACCAGCTTGAGAGTCACTGGACCCCTGTCGCACAAAAAATCTGTCCAGAGAGGTCTGTTTCTGACGTCTCATTAAGATCTGCCTAAAATGGGACATGACTTTATCATTGACCATGTTGCAGGCACGGCCTGCCACAGCTTTGTCAAGGAGGTGCTTCTCCACAAAATTTTGCACTCTATTCCACTTTGCACACATGTCCTTAATCACTGAAGAAGGCACAATCTCCCCTCTCTCTTTCTCCTCTGAAGCAATTTCCTCAGCTATGATCTGTTGCAGCTCCAGTTGAAGGTCTTGGAGCTCATCAGTGGTTAGCTCTTCCCTGTGGTCGTCCACCAACTCTTCCACATCCTGGCCATTCACATCCAACCCCATGGACTCTCCCAAAGACACAATAGATTCCACAACAGGTGTAGGGTTGTATGCATCAGCCTCAAACCCTCCAAAAACTTTCTTGAGGACACATTCTGGCCACAATTTTCTCCAAGCACAGTTCATTGTCCTGGAAGTCACTCCCTGCCAAGCCTTATCTATAAGGCTTATGCAATGAAGGATACTGAAGTGATTCCTCCAGAACTCTCTTAAGGTTAATTCAGTGTCGAAGGTCACATTAAAGCACCTTTGAAACAGTGCTTTGGTGTAGAGTTTTTTGAAGTTTGAAATGACCTGCTGGTCCATGGGCTGGATGAGAGGAGTGGTATTAGGGGGAAAGAACTTCACTGTAATGAAACTAAACTCCTCCAACAAATGATCTTCCAAGCCTGGAGGATGAGCAGGAGCACTGTCCATTAGCAGAAGGCACTTCAGTGGCAACTGATTTTTAAGGAGGTATTTCTTCACACTCGGGCCAAACACTTCATTGACCCACTCAATGAAAATTTGCTTTGTGACCCATGCCTTACTGTTAGCCTTCCACATCACACTCAGTTTACTCCTGATGATATTATTTTTCTTGAACACTTGGGGATTTTCAGAGTGATACACCAGTAAAGGCTTTACTTTGAAATCCCCACTAGCGTTACCACAAAGCAAAAGTGTTAGCCTATCCTTCATAGGCTTGTGTCCTTGCAGTGCCTTTTCCTCCTGTGTGATGTAGGTTCTCTTTGGCATTTTCTTCCAAAAGAGGCCTGTTTCATCACAATTGAAGACTTGTTTGGGGAGGAATCCTTCAGCCTTTACGTACTCCTTGAATCCATCAACAAATTCTTCGGCCCCACGTTTGTCCAAACTTGCAGTCTTGCCATGCCTTTCCACATAGTGTATGCCAGTTCGCTTCTTGAATCTGTCGAACCAGCCTCTGCTGGCCTTAAATTCACTAACAGCAGCACTCGTTCCAGGCATTTTCCTTTCAAGATTCGCATGCAACTCCCTTGCCTTCTCACAAATTATTGCCTCCGAAACACTATCTCCCGCTAACTGTTTTTTGTCAATCCACACCCACAACATCATCTCAAAATGTTCGATTGTTTGCAATCTCTGTTTCGTTAGCACATTTACCCCTTTTGCAACATCAGCTTCCTTGATTTCTTTTTTCTTCACTAGGATGGAACTGATTGTTGATGCGGACGTCCCATACATCCTGGCGAGTTCGGCCACACATACGCCACTTTTGTACTTTGCTATGAGTTCTTGTTCTTGTACTTGTTTTCGGATATTTTTTTGTTTTACACTAACTCGCTGACTTTCCTTAGGCAATTCTTCATGTTCTTCTTCACTGGAAGATGAAGAATGTGACTGTGGCTCATATTCATCCCCAGAATCTACTTCCTCATTAGGGTCACTTTCATCACATATCTCAGGCACGATATAATCCCTATGTCTTTGAGCCTTTGATCCACAAAACACGTCTGTGTTTAACTGAAATGAACAGAAAACACAAAATGAGTATTCCAATTGAGTAAATTTTATAAATTTACAAGGTATATTTACTCATGTATCAATGTCTTTGTTTCAGTAAAGTCAATTGCATGCAATTGTTAGCTAAGAATGACAAAGATGGTCTAATTGTTATTGGTCAATCCATCATATATGATACCTTCATTGGCACAGTTGCTATTACCACTGTTGGTCTAGGCATCACGTAAGTGGCCTTCAGTGAAATGTGTGGTTTTAAGATTGTCGGGGAAGGAATCATATATGAGGCTACAAACGTTTCACAAAAGTTCAAGTGCATGCATTTGTTACTTCACAATGTCTCAGGCAATTCATTTACATCTCAAAATGATGTTCAAACATTCAATAAAGCACTGGAAACCCATTCACTAATTTACCAACATTCTGGAATGGTGTAAATTGGCGATATATTCAGAGAGCGAGGTCAAAAATCCTTCCCCTTCAACAACTGACACAATACTGAACACTGCTGGAGCTCCCAGCCAATAGCAATCGACAACACCCAAGGCACGCTCTATTCAGGCTCTGCCCAGAAGGTTTGCGATTGGTCTGACTGAGACAAAAGGTATCTGATGAAGTGCAAGGTGCTGATGGTGCCATGAAAATCATACTTTTCACACATTACAAATATGGCTAAGCCCAGTAAATGGCTAACCCTTTCTGTGGCAGCTTCTCACCTGGCTGTAATTGGTAGTATCCTCAGGCATGTCTGTTGTTTTAGCATCAATGCGCAGCAAGTTAGGAACGATTTTTTTATTACTGCCGTCATCATGCATATTATCATTACTGTTATCCACCTGCTCTTCCATCTCTATTGGTTCTGCGGAGAATTAAAAATTACTCATTTTTATCAAGGACATGAGAGAAAATAAAGATGGTAGTCACAGTGTCAGGTTGAGGGACCGACCATCCTCAATATTACTCCAGCACTTCCTCCACAAAATCTAGCACAAAATTACCTCTGTCTTCAACTGAATAAGTCTGCTGAACAAGTGAAGTTTTTCATCAATAAATGTACCCAAGTGTTGTACATGTGTTTTTGTTCATCAATCAGTTCAGTGTGTTTACTCTGAAGAATGAGAGATGTAAAACTTGAATGGATTATCAGAATCATGATGTTCTTATATTCCAAGATTGATTGATCAATTCCTCGTTGCTTGGAATGTCAAACAATTAATGCATAGCAAGAAATTATGCACAGATGCATAGCAGCTTCATACATTTATTCACAGAATTGTGTTTGCAATGAGTAAGCCTCAGCTCCTGTATATACATATACAGTGGACCCCCGGTTAACGAACTTTTTTCATTCCAGTAGTATGTTCAGGTGCCAGTACTGACCGAATTTTTTCCCATAAGGAATATTGTGAAGTAGATTAGTCCATTTCAGACCCCCAAACATACATGTACAAAAGCACTTACATAAATACACTTACATAATTAGTCGCATTTGGAGGGGATCGTTAAGCGGGGGTCCACTGTATATGCAAAACAACCACTGTGAAAAAAAGTGAACTTCTAAGCACTTTTGTGATTTCTCACATTATCAGGGTACTGTCAAAATAACAGAACAGCAGGTCATATGCGAGATCTCTCAGCCTTATAAGCCTTCTACTATTCGGTTATTTTAAGAGGTTCTTAATAATGTCAGAAATCGTGAAAGCGATTGGACGTTCACTAATTTTCACAGTGGTCATATTGTGATATCACCAATTTACAATAATATTGTTGCAAATGTATGAATTCTTGCATAAATGTGGTGCAAAAAGAACAAAGAGGCACAATACATAGTCAATACCAAATTCATTATATTAGACCATAGTGCAATTAATAGTGAGAGTTTGGTGCTATTTTTAATTTGTATTTTTATATTATTAAATTAAACCTAGTTGTACTATAGCTCATTCTAGCTCAATACATAGACTATACCGAAGTCATTATATTAGACCTTAGTGCAATTACAAGTGAGAGTCTTGTGCTATTTTTAATTTGTATTTTTATATTATTAGTTTATACCTAGTTGTACTTTAGCTCATTCCAGCACAACACATAGACAACATCAACATCATTGTGTGTATTAGTGACTATACAGTGGACCCCCGCATAGCGACTTTAATCCGTGCAAGAGGGCTCATTGTTATGCGAAATGATCGGTATGCGAATGAATTTTCCCCATAAGAAATAATGGAAATCAAATTAATCCGTGCAAGACACCCAAAAGTATGAAAAAATTTTTTTACCACATGAAATATACATTTTCCTACACACAAAGAGAAGGATACATGCACAATAGTAGAGTAGTACATGCACAATATATATTAAAGGCACTAATAACAAACAGACAAATGAATAAGCACCACCTTCTCTTAGCTGGAGACTTCAACATCAACCTTGGCCTACTAGATGATCAGCCTGTAACTGATTTCATCAACAATATGAACAACACACTTCTCATACCAACAATAACTAAACCAACCAGGCTCACTGAGACAAGTGCAACCATAATAGACCACATATGGACCAATATACTAGCCCCCCTTAAATCAGGGATAATCACAGATAGCACTACAGACCACTACCCTACCTTCCTCTTGACAAACATCAGTAAACCACAACTTGAATACAACAAAGTTTCATTTAGACTCCATGACGAGGCCTCAATAAGGAATTTCACAGCTGACCTAGAGACTGTTGACTGGCCTACAGAATTCTCCAAGGCCAATGGTATTTATGCCTGGACAGACATTTTTCTTAACAAATTACTTAGACTATACAACAAACACTGTCCTATAAAAAAGAAACAGATCACGAACAAACGGCTTGGTTGCCCATGGCTAACCAGCACCATTCTGAAATCCATTGATAAGAAATACCAATATGAAAAGCAATATAGACAGGGCTTAATACACAAAGATATTCTTAAACACTATTCATCAGATCTCACCAAAGTAATAAAGAGAGCCAAACAACTATACTACTCCAGCAGATTCACTGACACAAGAGGAGATATAAAAAAGGCTTGGAAAACACTCTCTCAGATTCTAGGGACCCACAAACTGAAAAAAAACCAAGAATATTGTAATAACTAAACCTAATGAAACACCACTGCATCCCACTGACACAGCTAACACGATAAACGACTTCTTCTCAACCATAGGATCTAATCTCGCCAATAAAATCCCATGTACCAATGTCCATGCCAAGTACTACCTAGTTGGGAATTTCCCAAATTCCTTCTAACTTGTACCAACTGAGCCCACGGAAGTCACCGAGATTATAAAGTCACTTAAAAATAACTCGGGGAATCTGTCTCATGTCCCACCATTATTGTACAAGCGAGCGGCCCATGTCCTTTCACATGCTATTTCATTACTTTTTAACAAGTCACTAGAAACTACAGATTTAAACAACTATAGGCCAATATCAAACTTACCACTGCTATCCAAAATCTTTGAGAAACTCGTGCACAGGAGACTATATTCATTTATAACGGCACAAAACATACTCAACCCCAGCCAATTTGGATTCAGAAAAAATAAAAGCACTAATGATGCAATTATAAAAATGATAGATCTGCTTTACACAACATTGGAAAATAAGGAATATCCACTAGGAATTTTTATTGACCTAAGAAAAGCTTTTCACACAGTAGACCACAGCATCCTACTCCACAAACTTGACCATTATGGTATAAGAGGCCATGCGCTTGCATATTTCAAATCTTACCTTAATAATAGGTATCAGTATGTCACCATTAAAGACACAGCATCGACAACACGGCCACTTGATACTGGAGTTCCCCAGAGAAGTGTCCTTGGTCCCCTGCTCTTCCTCATATACATCAATGATCTTCCAAACATATCCCAACACCTGAAACCCATTCTCTTTGCTGACGACACGACATATGTCATCTCTCACCCTAATCTTGCCACCCTCAACACCATTGTTAACGAGGAGCTGATCAAAATATCGGCTTGGATGACAGCCAATAAACTTACGCTTAACACTGACAAAACCTACTATACGTATTATGTTTGGTAGCAGATCAGGAGTTGCGCAAATTAACATTAAGATCGACAACACTAATTGCCAGACATAATGAGGGCAAATTCCTAGGCCTATACGTCAACAACAACTTGAATTTCAGCACCCATATCCAACACATAACCAAAAAAGTATCCAAAACGGTTGGAATCCTCTCCAAGATACGATACTACATGCCGCAAAATGCCCTTCTCACACTATACCACTCACTTATTTATCCATACCTAACCTATGCTATTTGTGCTTGGGGATCAACTGCAGCAACACACCCAAAGCCAATAATAACCCAACAAAAAGCTGCAGTAAGAATAATCACTAAATCCCATCCCTGGTAACCCCCTCCCCCACTCTTCATAGATCTAAACTTACTCCCTGTTCAGTACATCCACGCTTACTACTGTGCAATCTACATCTACAGGACCTTAAATTCCAATATTAACCTTGACCTAAAATGCTTTCTTGATAGTTGTGATAGAACCCACAGGCATAACACCAGACACAAACTTCTCTATGACATTCCCCGTGTCCGACTAAACCTTAACAAAAATTCAATGTATGTCAAAGGCCCTAAAATCTGGAACACCCTACCTGAAAACTCTAGAACTGCAGACACATTCATCAACTTCAAAACTACCATTAGAAAACATCTTATCTCCCTGATACACCCTGTCAACTAATTACACAAATACCACCTGGTGGTTCACACTTACACTCACTCACCCATTTGACCATAAACAGAAATATCAATCTCAACCTTAAAATAATGAATCCTAACTAGTCATAAGTTGGCCTGTGATACTCCAATACTGAAACTATGTATTGTGCCAAAACAAAAGCATTCACATTGCTAAACTCACAAACTAGTATTTAGTCACTTAGCCATAATACCAATTTACCTCATAATTTGTAATATTTTAAAGTTAAGAATTAATCTAAGTCTGACCGAAATGCCTAGCCATGCTAGGTGTTGTAAAAGGACACAAGTGCAAGTAATGTGACATTTTATTGTGGCAACGTTTCGCTCTCCAGGAGCTCCTGGAGAGCGAAACGTTGCCACAATAAAATGTCACATTAGTTGCACTTGTGTCCTTTTACTTTACATATTGTCGGTAATTCTACCAACTTTATTACATGCTAGGTGTTCTAGTGGCCCCCTCAGTAATTAGTATTTTACTACATGTAAACCACACAATAACCAAATTCTGCAAACTCAGCATTGTAATCCTTATAGAGAATAAACTTTGAATTTGAATTTGAATACAGTGCCTGGAATACACAAATAACCGGCACACAGGAGAGGGAAACATGTTTACCCGGAGTTTACCCGGAGAGGGTTTTGGGGGTTGATGCCCCCACGGCCCAGTCTGAGACCAGGCCTCATGGTGGATCAGGGTCTGATCAACCAGGCTGTTACTGCTGGCCACACGCAAGCTGATGTACGTACCACAGCACAGCTGCTCAGGTATTGACTTCCGGTGCCTGTCCACTGCCTTCTTGAAGACAGCCAGGGGTCTATTGGTAATCCCCCTTTATGTATGCTGGGAGGCAACTGAAGTCTTGGGAACTTATTGTGTTGTCTCTCAGAGTACTCGTGGCACCCCTGCTTTTCATCGGGGGAATGTTGCATCTCCTGCAGGTTTGGTACCAATCTCTCCAGGACCTTTCAAGTGTATATTATCATGTATGTCTCTCGCCTGCGTTCGAGGGAATACAGATCAAGGACCTTCAACCGTTCCCAGTAGTTTAGGTGCCTTATTGCACTTATGTGTGCTGTGA